GATCAGGGTGTGTCAGTGAAACAGCGTCGTCTGCGGCTACTGTTCGTATGTTCGTGCGGCGCGGTTCACGAGCGAGAGGTTCATACCATAACTTCACGGAACTAAGATCAAGTCATTGACTGTCAGCCAGATGACCAGGTGGTTGACCCCTGGTCGTCCGACTGGGTCCCGAACTCCACCTCGTGACCGGGCTTCCTCTCAGGCATGTCATGCGACCATCAGCCCCTGACACACAACACTGCCATCAAATGTCCGTCGTACAGGGTTCACCACCCCGGGATAAGCTCCATGCGCTGCGAGCAGAGTTGGAATCGCTTCCGCCGTGGGGGAACAGGCGCATTGTCACGGAGAACACGTGGGGCGATGCCCCGTCTCCCTCCTCTTCCTCCCCTGTCTGAGCCAAGAGGTTAACACTAAATATTGAATGAATTCGAAGAAAAGCCGTTCCAATTTCGAGAACAAGAAATGCAGGCCACGCTCAGAGGCACCGAGCTTATAGAAATCTGGACCACCAAAAATATTTTCCGTTTCTGTCGTTCCTAGAAAGAGCATGAAAGCTCGGTTCAAAAGCGACTTCTCAGCTGATCATCGAAGCGTCGGTCGTGGCATTCGCCTCCCACTGGACTCATGCTCAGGCAAAAACTGTGCGAAGCTATTGCAGCGTAGACAAAACACAATCCTGACAGAAAGAATTGTTATCTTGCAGAGCACGCAGCAGCTCCTTACATGCCTGCTAACAAAACCGTAAGCTCAAATACAGTGTCATGTTGATTTTAAGACTGATACTGACAAGGTCTGGAGATTGACGTTCGAAGTGTTGCCAGGGCAAAGGGGTATTGCTGTCTTTTGGGGAGGGCGTTAAACGACAACGTCCCAAATTGTTTCGCAAGCTAGCGCATCAGCTTCCCGCGGCGATCCAAGCAGGGACGACAAAACACCAGACTTGTGGCCGCGCTCGGGCCCGCGAGTCGGCCTGAGCTCGCGGGGAGACACTCCACCAGCTGCGTCACGCCGTCCCGTCCCAAGGCCGTTCAGCTCATGCGGGGTCACTGCATTGGAGTGACGTGACCCCCACCAGCTGCGCCACGCCGCCCCCGTCCCAAGACCATTCAGCTCATGCGGGGTCACTGCATTGGAGTGACGTGACCCCCACCAGCTGCGCCACGCCGCCCCCGTCCCAAGGCCGTTCAGCTTATCCGGGGTCACTGCATTGGAGTGACGTGACCCCCACCAGCTGCGCCACGCCGCCCCCGTCCCAAGGCCGTTCAGCTTATCCGGGGTCACTGCGCTGGAGTGACGTGACCCCCACCAGCTGCGCCACGCCGCCCCCGTCCCAAGACCATTCAGCTCATGCGGGGTCACTGCATTGGAGTGACGTGACCCCCACCAGCTGCGCCACGCCGCCCCCGTCCCAAGGCCGTTCAGCTTATCCGGGGTCACTGCATTGGAGTGACGTGACCCCCACCAGCTGCGCCACGCCGTCCCGTCCCAAGACCATTCAGCTCATGCGGGGTCACTGCATTGGAGTGATGTGACCCCCACCAGCTGCGCCACGCTGCCCCCGTCCCAAGGCCGTTCAGCTCATGCGGGGTCACTGCATTGGAGTGACGTGACCCCCACCAGCTGCGCCACGCCGTCCCGTCCCAAGACCATTCAGCTCATGCGGGATCACTGCGCTGGAGTGACGTGACCCCCACCAGCTGCGCCACGCCGCCCCCGTCCCAAGGCCGTTCAGCTCATGCGGGGTCACTGCGCTGGAGTGACGTGACCCCCACCAGCTGCGCCACGCCGCCCCCGTCCAAAGGCTATTCAGCTCATGCGGGGTCACCACGCATGAGTGGCGTGACCGCCCCGTCCCCCCCCCCCCCCCCCCCCCCCCACAAGCTGCACCGCGCCGTCCCCGCCCCATTGCCATTCAGCTCATCCGGGGTAACCACGCTGGAAGAGCATGGCCCCCTTTGACCTTACATGGTGCCGTGCGTTCGGCTGATATCAAATCAAATGCATCCTAAATTGTCGTGAATAATCTTCCATAAGATGGCACCATGACACCACACTTCCTTAAGATTCTCTTTGCGCGCGTTTTTACAGATCTCCCGACCGGCAGCCCGTTAACACCGTACAGCGGCGTCAAACCTCTGCCAGTAGATTAAGGGCTTCCACGCGCATACACGCCGCCAACACGCAAAGCATGCAAAGGACCGACGAAAAGAAATGGCGGCCGTAGGCACGTAAACAAAAGCCGCCGGAGACACACACCAACACCTGCCGAGTTTCTCATACCGGGTCGATTGACAGCCACTACCGGAGTGCGAGCCATTGGTCATGAGAACATCGCTGACAGCGAGGAACGAGCACGCGCCCCACACCTCGTGAACAACACACGGTTGTGATTGACCACTCGCGATGTTCCCACCGATCATTTATGCGTGGCCGTGGGACCGAGCGGCTTCCGCCCTCAGTCACACACGGTCGCCACGCAGCACCGCCAGCTCAGAGCACGTGCGCGGTCCGACCCGGCAGCAGCGGTCTCGTGGTGTCCGGGCGTCAGGAGGCCGGGCAGGGCGCCGGCCGCGAGCAGCACCCGGCAGTACGCCGGAGGAGCCCCCCCCCCCCTCTTTCCCTCCCCCCCCCCCCCCCACGGACGGGTATCCGGAGCGGGGCGGACGTGGCAGAGCCGGCCAGCGACGGGCGCGGCTTCACAGTCGGAGTCTGCAGTCGGCAGGAGCTCACCAGACGCAGTCCACAGCCGGAATCTGCAGCCGGCAGGAGCTCACCAGGCGCAGTCCTCGGCCGGCTGCTCGGAGCTCAGCAAGCGGCCGGGGGTGCCTCGTCAGAGCCGGACCAGGTGCCGAGCCCCGGCGGCGGCGCGCACGATGCTCTCGTTGTGCGTGGCGGCGCTGCTGGCGGCAGCGGCGGCGGCGGCGCCGGCCGGCGGCCACTACGCCAGCGCACGGCGCGGCGCCGGGCGGCGCCTGGCCGGCGTCAACCCGACCGAGACGCTGACCGGCGTCGGCCGACCGCAGTGTCAGCTGGCCTGCCTGCAGCGCGGCAACTGCCGCAGCTTCAACCACCACGCGCGCGACGCCATCTGCCAGATCTTCACCGTCACTGCCTGCGACCACTACAACTACCACGTGAAGCCGGACGCCGACTGGAGCTGGTTTGATGTGGCCGGCGACCCCACACTGGAGTCCAGTCAGCTGCTCTGGCAGAAGGAGGCGTGCGTGCGCGACGGCCGCTGCCGCGACACCTGCCTGCGCCGTCTGGACGAGCGCTGCCGGCACCCGCAGCAGTGCGAACACTACGTCACCGGCGGCGTCCAATGCAGCGGCAGCAAGTGTCGCTGCGCCTCCGGCTACTGGAAGTACAACAACACGCTCTGCATGCCGACGGATCAGCAGCTCTTCACCGACGGCAAATACTGGGTGTGGAAGGCGCTGGCGAACGGACTCTGCAGCACCGAATTCGACGTGAAGGCCAGCAACTACGTTCGCCTGGTGCTCTCGGAGGCCTACACCCACTACGCCGACCGGTACGTGTTCTACATCGGCCTCCAGGACAACACTGTCGTCAGGGTCGACCGGATTAAGGAGGGCGAGGGAACCGAACGGATCGCCGACACGTACAAGCCGCTGCTGGACGGCAACAACTTCGTCCGCTTGGGCATCCACTGGTGCGGCGGACGAATCCGGGTCTGGAAGGTCGGCGAGGGCCACTTCATCAGCTGGAATGACGACAAGGCGTTCTCGCCCACGCACCTGGCCATCTGGTCGTCGTCGTCGGTGGAGGGTCGCTGGCGCTTCCCGCAGCGGCTGGTCGACCCCTGGTTCGGCGACTGGAGCCTCGAGCGAATCTACTCGATCCCGCGCGACACGATGCTCGCGCGCCGTCAGCGCCAGCAGGACTTTTGGGTGGAGTTCGAATGCCGCGTGAGTCGGGACTGCAACTGGATGGCGCGTGACACCGCCGTCTGGCACAACGCCAACGTTTGGTACGTCATCATCGGCGGCTGGAGCAACACCTACAGCTCGATCCGCCGTCACACGCGCGACAGTGGCTGGGCCGACGTCCAGCTGGTCAGCACGCCGGGCATCCTCAGCGCCAGCGAGCTGCGCCGCTTCCGCATCCACTTCTGGCCGGGCGGCGTGGCGCTGTACCGCGGCAGCGAGGCGGAGCCTGTCGTCCAGGTGGCCGGGCAGCCGCAGTTCACCATCAACTACGACGGGCCGCACATGTGCTGCAACACCGACAACGTCGAGTTCCGGCTCGTGCAGTACGACGCCAGCTGGGGGTACGAGGCTGGCTTCCGCTGGGGCGAGAGCCTGGTCGACTGAAGCCCAGTACCGGCGGCAGCCGCGCGGCGAGCGAGGCGCGCCGCGCCGAGCCGCCGCCGTGGCGTCAGTACGCGTGACGTGACGGTGCCAGCACAGCCTGCGTGACACCACGGTTGGGCCTGAGCTGCGCCGCACAGCCTTGCCCCATAACTCTTCTGGATGTTTGTTGTTCGGCGAACTTCTTTTAACGAATACCAGATTACGAACTACGTTAGGTGTATGGAAAGGGCCTACAAATCAAGTTGAGTTGAAAATCAAGAGAAAAATAGGCTCTAAAGATTCCAGCTGAAAACACTGACAGTAAGCCGCTGTGGATAATGATGCAACACCGTCGCAATATGATCCCACAGCACCATTTTCATCCCGAGCGACTCATAACCACACATTGAGGCACCCACGACTTCGGTGAAAGCGCCACCGCACGCTCACCGCACCGGCTGTGTTTTATTCGCCCGCCGCCTCCAGCGTCAGGCGCCAAGACTGCCGCGCACGGCCGCCAGACCTCGCAGGCGAGAGTCATGCGGCGAATGTGGCGCCGCGGCTGGCCGCCGGCCCCATCACCGCCCGCCAGCTGGTCTGGTCGTGGCGGGTGCATTGTCCGACTGTGTTCTGCCAACGCCGCGGAATACACTTGACATTGGTGGCACAGATCTGGTTTAAGCCTCAGGCTGGGTGCGGCGGCGCGCCGTCAGAGCCCGTCCCGGAGCGCCTGGTCCTGTTCCGGCGCGAGTACGCGGTCCCTCGCCGCCAATTACGCTGGTCACCGACCACGGTCCCTTTCCCGTTAACTACCGAGGGACGTCGGTCCCCTCGGCTGCCATCGATAAATTACAGGTGTTGGTGAGAAAACCTGCCGCTGGGAACGCACAGCATGGCGACATTTCGTGCGTGTACATGATAGGGTGGGGCCCCACTGCCAGGGGTAATGGGGACTTCAGCTGTCTCTGGGTCAGTGTAAGGATGGGCGAGGATCTTAGACATGAGAGAGAAAGGAACCAATCCGTTTTTTCGGCATCATGAATACCTACTTTCTGAAACTTGCTGACTAGCTTGCTAGAAACTTCTTGCTGAAAACAGCCGATCTACAATGTCCCAGAAACTACTTACACCATTAGACGATGCTAAGAAGCAGCTGTTTGTATATATTATCCGACGCCTCGACATTTCGAGGCGGAGCCCATGGTCCCCAGCGGCCATGCGCTCGCGAGCCCATGGCCGTTTGTGGTCGTGATAGCCCGCATAGCACAGTCGCATGTGGTCCCCACTGAGGAGGGCGATGGGGACTGGCACACCGCCCAGACTTGTCTACCACACGACCAGTCGTGACCATCAGTACTGTCCCGAAGCGTCGATTTTTGTAACATCTCAAACGATGTCCTGACAGCGTCGTTTAACCCGCACCTTCTGGTATACTGAAGGACGGCCATTGTCAACATCAAAGATCATAAATCCTAAGGACGCATCGGTTTAATAAAAAGCGTCCCCCTGAGGGCCAGGACACAGAGAAGCGCGTGCACCGTGCTGCCGGAGGTCGTCCCGCCCAGCCACGGCCCAATTACTGCAGCGCATAGTCTGATCCCACCTGTGTTGAGAGAGCCACGCAGGACTACGCTGCCACGCTGTGGGCACATGGCAATAACTGATCTGGAATTTCTGCCCCAGTGGGTGTATGGGATGAATACACGTTCTGCTGCCGTCCCAACAGTTACCTCTCACACCTGTCTGGACGGCGACCAGCGCACGCAGTGGTGCGCCGCGCCAGTGTGGGGCCTCCACAACGGCCGCCATAAGCGACCGTAGCTCCCCACAGGCGCCGAGCGCGCGCCCGTCTGGGCCGCCGGCGGCCCGGCCGTACCTGTCTGGTGGCGGCCAGCAGTGCCTGCACGAGCAGCGGCAGGCCGGCGCCGCGCCGCGTCACCGAGCTGCGCGTGCCGCCCGCCTGCAGGCTGGCCAGCACGTCACGCAGCACGCCGGCCGGTACATCTCGCACGGCGGCGCTGCCGTGTCGCAGCGCCGCCGTGCACAGCCTGCGGCGACACGGCCGAGGCGCCGTCAGTGACGGGGGATACAGCCGGGAGCGGGCCGATGGACACAGCCGGAAGAGGGCCGAGGGATACAGCCGGGAGCGGGCCGGGGGATGCAGCTGGGAGCGGGCCGAGGGACACAGCAAGGAGCGGGCCAAGAGATACAGCCGGGAGCGGGCCAGGGGCGCCGTCAGTGGCGGGGTATAGAGCCGGGAGCGGGCCGAGGGACACAACCGGGAGCGGGCCGGGGGCGCAGTCAGTGGCGGGGGGACACAGCCGGGAGCGGGCCGAGGGACACAGCCGGGAGCGGGCCGAGGGACACAGCCGGGAGCGGGCCGAGGGACACAGCCGGGAGCGGGCCGAGGGACACAGCCGGGAGCGGGCCGGGGGACACAGCCGGGAGCGGGCCGGGGGCGCCGTCAGTGGCGGGGGACACAGCCGGGAGCGGGCCGAGGGATACAGCCGGGAGCGGGCCGGGGGATACAACCGGGAGCGGGCCGAGGGATACAGCCACCAGCGGGCCGGGGACGCCGTCAGTGGCGGGAGACACAGCCGGTGGCGGGCCGGGGACCGTCGGAGGCGGGGGACACAGCCGGGAGCGGGCCGAGGGATACAGCCGGGAGCGGGCCGGGGGATACAACCGGGAGCGGGCCGAGGGATACAGCCGCCAGCGGGCCGGGGACGCCGTCAGTGGCGGGAGACACAGACGGCGGCGGGCCGGGGACCGTCGGAGGCGGGGGACACAGCCGGGAGCGGGCCGGGGACCATCAGAGGCGGGGGACACAGCCAGGGGGGGCCCGAGGCGCCCTGTGCAGACCGGTCTCACGTCCGACGACCCAGTCGTTGCTCGTGGAAAAAGGGATATTTGCAGATGCCATTAGGTCATCAAAAAGATGCCACAGAAAAACCGTCACGCAATCTGCCTATTTAAACGTTGTAATGCTACCTATGGCAAGTGGCTGTGCAGAAACAAAAGGCACGGGTCGCAGAGGGTTCTGAACGGCACACAGATGAAGTAAGACATACAGTGGGACGCATTTCATTGTGAAAAGGGTCATAATTACAGCTTCTTTCCATTCCTCGTGGAATATTTAAGTATCACTTTGTATTACACATATACATAAATACTAATACGCTACCAACCATAATAGAGAGAAAGGCTGACAGGAAGAGCTACCGACAGCACGCCCGCACCCGAACTAGCCGACACACATGAGCTCCACCCACACAGAAACAAGTGGTCGACGTGTTTGCTGTCACCGTCTTCCTCCGCCACTCACTGTGCCCAGGCGACGCGAGCAGACTCGATGGCGCCCTTGTGTCGGCAGCCGGTCAGCACGCGGCGCAGCACGCGCACCACACGCTGCAGGGTCGGCACGTCCATGCCGGGCCCGTGGCGCGCCAAACACGCCGTTATCAGCTCTCCGAGGAAGTAGCTGCACTCCTGCCGAGACATAAGCCACGGCTCATCAGCTCGCCGAGGAAGGAGCTGCACTCCTGCCGAGACACAGCGGCCGTTAAGCCACGGCTCATCAGATCGCCGACGAAGGAGCTGCACTCCTGCCGGGACACAGCGGCCGTTAAGCCACGGCTCATCAGCTCGCCGACGAAGGAGCTGCACTCTTGCCGAGACGCAGCGGCCGTTAAGCCACGGCTCATCAGCTCGCCGACAAAGGAGTCGAGTCTCACACAAATTTTGCGGCGTATTCGACACGTGACGACGCACGAGATGAGCTTTTCCCCTCACCAAGCCCATGGAAAAGTCGAAGGCTTAGAAAAGGGTTCAAAGATGTAAAACGAACTAAGGTAAAGGACAGCGCAGTTGTGTGGTACGCTGAGTTCTCTGCGAGCTAAAAAGGGGACGCATGTTTTAGGATCAATACTTCTTGTATTAGCTTTGATTTTGCTTCCACCACCAGCTGGCCTTAGAAACTACGAGCCGCACAAGCTCAAGGCAACTCTAGTCCTACGCCCCGCGTGATCGATGAATGAACAGCCTACAGTGGGTAGCAGACAGCCGCCAAAGCTCCAGCGTTTCAGCACCAAGCAGAACTCTTTCACCGATCCCGCAATCCACGAACACCAGCCCCTTCGGCAGGAGTGATCGCTGTCAGTACCCCACCCGCCGACTCCCAGAGTGCCCTACCTTGAGATTGAGCCAGCAGCAGGCGAGCACCAGCTGGTACTGCTGCGACAGCACCACCGATCCGCCGGCCGCGTCCCCGGCCGCCACCAGCACCGACTCCAGCGCCACGCCCATGTCAGCGAACGATGGCGCCACCTCTGCGGAGAGGCACAGGGCTGAGTGGCGGCACTGGCACGTCCACTCGCGGGAGGACGACCAGTTGTAGGCAGTGTGGAGTCACGCGCGTTCGCGGTCCATCGAGGTGGCCGCTTTTACTATCGCTGCGCCTGTTGCAGCGGGTGTTGGACGACCTTGTCACATCGTAACACGCAAAATCGTGGGCACATGTAGCAGAAGTGAAGCCGAGTCCCAAACATTAGAACAACAGCCCCACGCGACACAGTTGAGGTCTCGTAGGCAACCATTTTTGTTTTCCTCGCGATCGAGTCCAACCACCCGACAAAACATGGACCTCCTCTCGCCGCAGCTTACTCAATCCCCAGCCGCACCCACCACTGACCGAGCTCGTCGTCCCTGCGGCCGGCCAGTGCAGCCAGCATGGTGTCGACCACGTCCTCCACGAGCCGGACACTGTCTCCCACCAGCTCGGGCGTCAGCAGTGGCCGGTCGGCGTCGCACAGGCAGCGGCGCAGGCACGCGAGGCGGCCGTGCACGGGCGCCGTCAGCGCCGAGGCGTAAAGGTCGGCACGCGCCGCGTCCGCCTGGCGCCGCGCCGCCGCCAGCAGCGCGGCGACGAACTCGGCCGGCGGCGGGCCGCAGCCGGCCACCGCTGTCTCGAACACCAGCCGGCACAGCGCCGCCGCCGTCTCCACGTCGTGGAAGTTGGGCCGGTCGGCGAGGCGCGCGGCGCGCGCTGCCAGCCCCGACGCGTCGGCAGCCGTCACCAGGCCGGCCGGCACGAAGTACACGGCGAGCAGACGCAGCGCCGCCTCGCGCACGTCTTCGACGTCGTCGTACAGGCACAGCAGCAGCGCGCGCATACTATCACGGTCGATGAACTGCCAGTGGAGGCCGCCGGGTCGGGCGGCGGAGAGCCAGGCGAGCAGAGCGGCCGTTTGTGGCGGCACGGCGCCCTTGCGCGCCACGCCGGCCGCCGGCAGCAAATGCGAGAGCACCTCGTCCAGCACGGCCAGGCAGGTGACGCGCCGGTGGTAGTTGGCGGCCGGCGAGAGACCGGCGAGTGCGGCGTCCACCAGTCCGCGCAGCAGCACCAGCAGGTGGCGAGGCGGCGGCCGCCCGCCGCGCAGGCACGCGCTGCGCACGCGCGGCACCAGTCGGCGCAGCTCGGCGCGCAGGCCGTGGCGCAGAGCGGTGCTGTCGGCGTCCAGTGCCTCGCGCAGCGCCTCCAGCAGCGGCGCACAGAGGTCGGCGGGCGGCGCGGCAGCGGCGCGCCGGCCGCCGCAGCAGGCGGCTACCGCCGCCAGTCGCACGGCCGCGTCGCCGTGCCTCAGCCCTGCGCGCAGCGCGGCGTCGGCGCGCGCGTCCAGCGCCACGTCCGCCTCGCGCAGCAATCGGACGACGGCCAGCCGGGCGGCGCAACCGGCGGCTGAGTCGGCGTCCAGCAGCGACAGCAGCCGGCCGGCCGAAGCGGGCCGGCCGCGCAGCAGCGCAGGCAGCCAGCGGAGCAGCGCCGTCTGACGCGTCTGGCTGCCGGAGGATGCGGAGTCAGCCACTACGCCCCATCACGGGCTGGGACGCCACAGGACGTGGCGATGGAGACGGACTGAGGTGTCGCCGTCCGACATTCCCTGCCACCGGGCCATCAAACCGGGATTTACTGAGGCCTTGTCCTAGTCCTACAGTATTTTATACGGAGCGGACGCTGTGTCGATCTCCCGCATCACCATTAAAGGCAATTTTCCACATTTAAAGATACTGAGGTGAGCATCAGGTATGATGAAATAAGCCCTTACATAACTACTCGTATGTTTTTAAGTGGAACAGGCTGCCCTAGAGAACACCCTTTCTTTATTTAGTAAAAATCGTTCGGCGCACTGTCATCACACAGTGGTATAGCATAACCCTGAATGGCATATTCATCGTCATTGTTTGATTGCGTCAGTGAAAGTTTGCATGACGTTGACGCGCACCCATAATGGCCGTGCGAAAGTGTCGCGCTAACACTCACTTGCAGTGCTTCAAACTCAGCGAGATGGTAGTGGTGGTGAGGGGAGTGCTCGCTGAGCCAAATAACATTATGTGATCGTGTCTTAACCCTTTCCCATGGTGTTCGTGCATAGTTATCCGTGAGCTTAAAAAGTTTACCTGCATTCGCATACTCGGTTATGGTGATATTTTTAGGTCGTATTTCCGTAACAACTAGCACGTGGTTGGTCAATTAGATTTGGAGTAGAGCACTTTCGACCAAAAATGATCATTTCAGGGCTTTGAGGTGAAGGACAATGGATAACGGTAGGGCACGACTACATTCTCCAACCGCCGAGCCTTAACCTGCGCAGGGACTCCTCTGCGGGGTACGCGCCAGGGGGCCTCCCCTCCAGGGAGCCTCTCGACCCACTTGTGGCTGGCGCACGCAGCCTGTCTTGGACAGGTGGGACATCGCGAGGATTCAGGATAAAGCAAGACAAGGGATAAGAGGGTACGATAGCTTGCACGTGAAGAAACCTCGTCCAACTTCTTAGACTATGCGCAAGGCCATCTAAGGGTGTACAGCCCAGAACGTGATTCATGATTGAAGCACAGCTTGATCAAGACTTATTGAAAGTCAATTAAAGCCCACCTTGTTTGGGAATCGCGCTCACGGACGCCACATCTGAACGGCTCTGAACCCGCAGAAGCAAAACAAAGAGACCGACTATCCCGCACCGCGTCAGCGGCGGGGCGCGGTAAGCCAACACCCCCCAGACCGCTGCACGCTCCCACCCCCCGCCCGGAGCCAACCAAAGGCGGCGCCGTGACACCGCACCTGTGCTCGGAGACGAGCAGATGTGCCAGGCGCCGCTCGAGCTCCTCCAGCCGCGGCTGGTCGGCGCCCTCCAGCACCTCTTGGAAGAGATCGGTGGTCACCGAGGCCAGGTGGTGGCCTGTCACCGCCTCGGTCAGGCCGTCCACCAGGTCCGGGACGCGCCGCAGCAGCTGGCAACACGGCCGGGGACGCTGCACCGACGCTAGCGAGACATGAGGTCGTGGCCGCAACGAACAACTGTGGTGCGTGCAGGGGGTGCGCGCAAGCGAAGGATGCGGACACGGAATGAAGGGATATGGTCAAGACAAGGATCAAGAATAAGAAATCTAAGGATAATGGTAAATCACGCGGTCGAGGGACACAAGAAGACTTGCATTCGTGCGGAACATGGACCAGAACACACAATCTACATGAATTTTGCATGGCGGTGGGCAGTATTTCCCATTAGCAAGTTAAACAGAGTAGCACGTCACTTCAAATGGTAAGCATCCACTGGTGATTATATTCTATCCTTTGTCAGCACCTGAAGACTGTATGCTTAAATCCAACACTGGCAGTGGGATCAACCCCAAAAGGAGCCTAGTGACAGTCAAACAATTACCACCGGCGCTCGGTCCAGCCCGCACCTCCTCACTGCCGATGTGTCGGCAGAGCACGAACAGGGTGTGCAGCTTGCCCTTGCTGGTCCACGGCAGGCCGGTGAGAGTGCCCACCAGGTCTGTCACGTACGCTTGCTCGGGCTGGACCAGCGCGTACAGCTGGAGTACGGCCGCCCAGCAGCGGGTCAGCAGCTCGGGCAGGCCGTCGCACTGGCGCTCCCAGCTGGCGGACAGTGCACCGACGGCTGGCGCCAGCACCGTGTCCGCCAGCTCGGCCGGCCTCAGCGCGGCGACGCACTGACGCACGCGCCGCAGGAACAGCTCCAGCAGGTGGAACGACTGGAAGATGTTGTGCGGCGCGGCGAGCAGAGCGAACAGGGTGGGGGAGATGCACAGCACCAGCGGCTGGCTGCCAGCAGTGACAGATAGCAGCTCTGTGTGACCACAGCTGCACAGTCCCAGCAGCAGCATCTGCTGGTGGTACACAGGCAGGTAGGGCACACCAGGCGCTGGCTTTGGCTGCTTCAGCAGCCGCAGGAACTCCTCACCACCGGCCGCCTGTGTATGCAGCAGCAGGCATAGGGAGATGGATGCCAGTAAGTTTGTCTCCTTGGGGTTAGTGACATTCCCCATCAGTGTCAGCAGCAGCGCCTTGATCTCTTCCTGTTTGGCTGATGACAGGCTGGTAATTGTTGCCTTGTCTTGTAGGCATGTCATGCATTTCTGAAATGGAAATGAACATACACTTGTAAGAGCTTGTATTTAAAGCTGCAAATGGTTTTATGTAACATTATTATCTGGAAGGACATTTCACTTTTCCTTTAGCCTTAAAGATCACACATTCTACAGTGAAGTATATGTATTATGTACATTCACATCTGCTACTACTGCATGCTCTCCCAATGTATACTCTACAATGCCAGCATTACTGCAGTACAGATTTCATAATATTAAGTTGGAGAAGGACACACAACAAATGCTGGAATCAAGTAAATTGAACAAATGTTTGAGCAGGACTTACCCTGGCAATGGATTGTATGTCAATGTTGGGACAGCCATCGCCATTCTTCACAAATTCCCTGATAGTGCTTAATCCACTTTCAAGCTGCTTTTCCATGGTTTATAGGCTGGCTGGCTGTGATGAAAAGACAAAAATCAATTAGTTAGACATACAACAAATGCTGGTTAACTTGAGCTGTAGAATCTGTATTGAGTGGACATGCTCACAACTGAGACAGCCCTGGTTACCAAATCTTTTGGGTTGTTGTTAAAATCAACCCTGCATGGTCTTCAGCAGAAATTCTGTTGATCGCTGAGCAGACAATGCCCGCACTTTGAGACTGGTACCTTCCAACATTTACAGAATATACACATAACGCATTGCTTTCTTATCACAACTTTTTTCAACTGGATTCATGATCTTGGCCATTGCCTTAGGTATCTGTGATAACTTTAACATGTAGATAAAATGCATACATCATGTTATGACAGGAAAGGGATGTGAAAGGTGTTACACAACCAAAAAATAGCAACTAACCCTTAACACAGCATAATGGGACCATGTGACAGACATGACAAAATGTGCCTGACACAACCCCTGATGGTCCCTTAGTTATTGTTGATGCTGGCCTACAGTAAAACATCACACCACAAAGTCAGCTAATGCTCTCCAGCCTCAGCCCAGCATGATAGTGCACAAACTTGGCGGCCAGCGGCGGTGCAGGTACCAAAGTAAAAAGCTGCGGCCTACTGCGTTAAGGTTAGCGGGTTTGTTATGCATTACCTATTGTACATACATATACGCACTCTACCTTTTGCAAGTTAAAAACGCGCGAAAACCCACGTTTTACGTCCACAGCTACCACAGCTACCCAGAAGCATCACCGCCCCCAAGTACCTCATAAATCCACACAATAGAATTCACTCGTGGGGACACGTCCTACCTTGCCTTGGATTGGGGCGCATAGCCCCCTGGGCTCGAGCGTAAAGGGGAATACGTGTGCTTCGTGGGGGCGTCAGGAATGACTTGTCTTCACCATTATTGTGTCAAAGTCGTGCCCGCCGTTCATAAACTGAAACCCTCCGTAGTACAATTTGGTAGTCATTACACTCGGAACTGACTGATACCTGCAATAAACCCGATGATCTTGTCATAGAAAACCCGCCGTATGTGCGTATACTAGATGTTGGCAGTACAACAGTGACGTGGAAGCGACCAGTGGTCTTAAGTAAGGCAGGGTTTCAGCATGCAATTGCATGCCAGCGGCGTTGAGACCTCCAACGCGGTCATCTACTGACCTCCGGAGCACTTTTTTGTTCGGTTGTGAAGTTGTGCCAGCCTTCCATGTAATGTCACATGATACCATGGCAATAAACCGAACTAGCTTGGCCGCCTGCTGAGCAAAGCGTGGTCAAAATGGGCTGCAAAGTCAAGTTGCTGCAAAAAAGTTGAGTTACTGAGAGGTCGCTGCATTGTAAAAGCGAAAAATAATGCACTGCACGAAAGAAAACTTGCTGCATTATAAGCGCAGGGAGCGAGGCCAGGCAACAATAGTCTACAATGATTGCGGAACTTCCGGACTTGGGGCGGCGACATGCCCACTTCATAACCTTAGCTCTCCATGCAGCGTTGTTGGGTTCACGCTATTTTAGCGGGAAGGGGAGTCACTTGTCTCCGTGCGGTCCTCTGGTAACAAAATGAATTAAGGGGGATATCCCGCCCATTTTAGCCTATTAATGAAACGGCGATTTTGCAGTGGAACCAATCCCGTAAATATCGGTGGAAACTTGATCCCATGTTCTTAGTTAGGCCACGGACCGTACCCAAACGGTTTCACAAGAGCGCGTGACGTCACGTCGTTGGAAACCAAGGTCCCGGGGGACCACCGCTCAACCACAGCCAACACACGGACTCTGATATTTAGACTATATTGTTACCTGATCCGACACAACAGACACCAGTTCTGACCTCTGAGGTCACATCCCCGCCTCTGAGGTCACACGGCAGCACAGGGCGGCGGCGGCCGATCACCGGCCCGCCGCCGGGGCCGTGGCACACGCGCCCAGTACTATGCAGTATGTACACCCGCTCGGCGTCGTCGACGCCGTCAGCGGCCGCCGACTCAGCGGTCCACCTCGCCGAATACGACGTCCAGCGTACCTGTAACAGAGTGGCCCCGGTCAGCAGGCGCCCAACACCGCGCGACACACGCCATCGTACACGGAAACAGCGCCGATGGGCGGCGACAGCGACGGCAGGATTGTGGATATCTGTCTAACCATGCTCAACTGACCCGACAGCACGACACACAAGTCTCACGTGCGCATCACTGGCGTGTTGCGGGATCGATACATCGTCGTAATGCCGTCCGCTAATCCCTTCACGCAGAAAAAAAGCAAACCAGCATATTCGGGAAGCTTTACCAGATAGCGCAGCTTCCCAAATACACAGAATAAGACGGCGGAGAAGAAGCAGCCGATGGGGATGGTAGGCGGCAGCTGTGGTAGACTACGCTTAATTACTGACCTATGATGGCGACAATATCGGCCAGCATGTGGTTCTTGCCGATGTGGTCGATGGCGGCCAGATGGGCGAAGCCGGGCGCCTTGATCTTGCACCTGAAACACGTCGCGGATGTCATCCGTCACTGGCAAGAGGCACAAACCTCACCGCACTCTTGCGCCTCCAGGATGGTCAAGGCCTGACCGCGGGCATCCTTGGAACGGGACCAATCACCCGCAGAAAGGCACGGCTCCGTTGTCCTGCACACGAACACCGACGGTCTCCTGCCAGCCTCACGACCACCAGCGCATGGGCGGGCGCCGCGCCGGCGGCCGCGGCCTGTCCTGACGCATGGACGGGCGCCGCGCCGGCGGCAGCGGCCCGTGCTGACGCATGGGCGGGCGCCGCGCCGGCGGCAGCGGCCCGTCCTGACGCATGGGCGGGCACCGCGCCGGCGGCAGCGGCCCGTCCTGGCGCATGGGCCGGCACCGCGCCGGCGGCAGCGGCCCGTCCTGACGCATGGGCGGGCGCCGCGCCGGCGGCAGCGGCCCGTCCTGACGCATGGGTGGGCGCCGCGCCGGCGGCCGCGGCCTGTCCTGACGCATGGACGGGCGCCGCGCCGGCGGCAGCGGCCCGTGCTGACGCATGGGCGGGCGCCGCGCCGGCGGCAGCGGCCTGTCCTGACGCATGGACGGGCGCCGCGCCGGCGGCAGCGGCCCGTCCTGACGCATGGGCGGGCACCGCGCCGGCGGCAGCGGCCCGTCCTGGCGCATGGGCGGGCACCGCGCCGGCGGCAGCGGCCCGTCTTGACGCATGGGCGGGCGCCGCGCCGACGGCAGCGGCCCGTCCTGACGCATGGGCGGGCACCGCGCCGGCAGCAGCGGCCCGTCCTGACGCGCGCCGCTCACCTGTACGGCTTGCTGGAGCCGTCCGACACCAGGTACACGCCGAACTCGCCCTTGGGCGCCTCGATGGCCGTGTAGGTGGCGCCCGGCGGCACCAAGTAGCCCTGCGTGTACAGCTTGAAGTGGTGGATCAGCGCCTCCATCGATTCCTGCCGGATCCAAAAGGGAGACGTTAATAGCCAATCCTCAGAGACTTGTCACCGAAGCACTACGGGCGTGCCAAGCGGTCGTCAGGGGGGGGGGGGGGGGGGGGGAGCGGGCACAGGCCGGGGCAGGTGACGGAGTCAGCAGAGGCGCGTCAGAGACGTTAGAGGCACGTCCCCAAGCTTCAGAGGCGCGCCGAGGAAAATCAGAGGCGTGTCAAGCCGGCCGTCGGAGACACGCGCAGGGCTCATCACAGTCCTACGCTACGCTACGAAGCCGCCAGAACCAGGCCAGACAGTCACCGGGGGCCCATTCTAAGACGGCCAGTGGCAGCTCACCTTCATCTCAGCGCGGCTGGGCGGCACGATCTTGTGGTCGTCCACCTTGATGTCGCCCGGCGGCATTTTGTTCAGACACTGTTCGATGATGCGCACGGACTGCCGCATCTCCTCCAGCCGGCAGAGGTACCTGTCAGCGGGGCGCCGAGTCAGCTGCGACCGCACCCGGCCGGCCGCCGGGGGTCGGCTAGAGGAGGAGGACGAGGAGGAGGAGGGGAAGGAGGAGGAGGAGGAGGAGGAGCACGAGGAGGAGGAAGCGTCCCCTCCGCTATCCACAGCATGGCCAGCACGCTACGTCGTCCATAGGCCGATGTTTGTGCGCCCAGCAGAGGCTTGAGCAGCATGCAGGCCCCGTGTTGCAGGTGGTGCACCGTGCACATTTCAATTGCTTAATTGTTCAAAGTTTCTGCTGCCAACGAATTTACATTCAAAGGCCAGCTACCCGAGCACCGAAGTTCACGACCTTTCAGGCAGTTCTCCAACGGAGATTAACGTTTCCCTGGTCAGTTGTTGCGCTATATATATATATACATATATATATATATATATATATATATATATATTCACGTCAGTCATCGTTTACGTGTCGTATTCCCTTTGCCACTCACACTACCCGAAAGCACGGTCGACGCGTCTCACCTGTCATAAGTGTCGCCGTTGATGCCGATAGGGATGTCAAAGTCGACCTTGTCGTAGGCGTCGTAAGGCTGCGCCTTGCGCAGATCCCACTCGATGCCCGAGCCACGCAGCATGACACCGCTGGAAACCCGTCGTTCACACAAGCGGCTGGAGTTAGGGGGAGGGCACTTCCTCGTGGTGTCACCAGCAGCGGGGCGTCGCTGACAAGCTCGGTGTCTACCGCGCCGGTCAGCTGAGTGTCGGCATTCTTCCAACGATGACCAGACGCACAACACCGCGATTACTTTACGATCGGTTTGACACGTCAAGCACGCACAACTCATCAGCGCCGCCCTCGCACACGGCGCCGGACTGCCAGCGCGTCTACCGTCACAGCTCCAATCCTGGCCCCGGCCCCGGCCCCGGCCCCAGCCCCGCTCCAGCTCCAGCTCCAGCTCCAGCTCCAGCCCCAGCCCCAGCCCGCCCCAGCCCCGACCCCGGCCCCGGCCCCGGCCCCGGCCCCGGCCCCGGCCCGGCCCCGGCCCCGGCCCCGGCCCCGGCCCCGGCCCCGTCCCAGCCCAGCCGGCCCCGTTCCAGCGTCGGGCGGCAGCTGACCTGAAGCCCCAGTTAAGCGCGTCCTCGGCGGTAACGGTGCCGATGCCGATGGTGCGCTGCATCCACAGCCGGTTGTTGGTCACCACGTCCTCCAGCTCGTCGATGCGCTCGTTGAACTTCGAGAGGAAGTCGTGGATGTCGTCCAGCAGCCCGATCGGCAGGTCCTGCCGGCCGATGGGGCGGTCGGGCGGTGCTGCGCATGAGATGGGATGGAGGCCGCCACGGGCAGGGATGGCGGCGAGCACCATCGTAACAACGGAGCACTGACCAACTCTACGACGAGGTTTCATGCTTAGGAGTGAGGAAAGACGGGTGGACCGACCCTGGTCTGACTCAGGCCACCTACACGTGTCGAGAGCCATTCCGTGTGAAACTGCGGTGAGACTCCAGCTGACCCAATCCCCACCCCCACCCCCTACCACATCTAACTCCAGCCCTGACCTCGAGCGACCTGTGACCTGTGACCTGTCCCCATTCGCCCCACCCTGGGTGGACTCTGACCTGGGAGACGCCGCCCGGTCGGACGTAAGCGGCGTGCATGCGGGCGCCCGAAACACGCTCGTAGAACTCCATCATCTTCTCGCGCTCCTCGAACATCCAGAAGAAGGGCGAGAGCGCGCCGATGTCCAGGATGTGCGTGCAAATGCCCATGATGTGGTTGAGCAGGCGCGTGATCTCGCCAAACATGGCTGCCGGGGTCGGTACAGCATCAGCGGCGCACGGCGAGCACGAGGGGTGACGCAAGGCGAGGGCACGAGGAGGGGCGGCGCAGGACCAGGGGGAGGGGAAGGGAGGGGCAGCGCAGGACGAGGGCGGGGGCAGCTCAGGGCGAGGGGAGGGGAAGGGGGAGGCAGCGCAGGACGAGGGCGGGGGCAGCTCAGGGCGAAGGGGAGGAGAAGGGAGGGCCAGGGCAGGACGACGGCGGGGGCAGCTCAGGGCGAGGGGAGGGGAAGGGGGAGGCAGCGCAGGACGAGGGCGGGGGCAGCTCAGGGCGAGGGGCAGGGGAAGGGAGGGGCAGCGCAGGACACGCCGCGTCAGACCGCTCAGAGTCCGGCGCCGTGACAGTCCAATCTCGGCTGCGCGGTGTCTCTGATGGATGCAGAGCCGTGCCGCGCAGGGGTACGAGACCATGCCCACCGAATACAGGCGTTGCGATCACTTCACGCGTGTCTGGCACGGCCGGACTCACACACACGCCAACGACTAACCCCATTAGACCGGCGCACGCTATTCCGGGTCGATCGAGACCGGCCCGGTCCGGGCGCGTCCACGACATAATCAGAGCGCCACAGCCCATCAGCAAACGTTCGATCGCACCCTCCTCAGCGCCACCGGCGAACGCCGCACCTCCGAACGGCCGGCTGTACCAGACCGACCGCGGCGTATCATAAAGCCTGGCAGTAGTCTGTGCACCCCCCGCCCCCCCCCCCCCCCCCTCCCCTCTCCTCTCCTCTCCTCTCTCTCCTCCTCTCCTCTCCTCTCCTCTCCTCTCCTCTCCTCTCCTCTCCTCTCCTCTCCTCTCCTCTCCTCTCCTCTCCTCCCACCCTCACTCACTGCGGATCCACTTGGCCCGCTCGGGCACGTCGATGCCGAGCAGCTTCTCGACGGCCAGCGAGTAGCACTGCTCATTGCACATCATCGAGACGTAGTCGAGCCGGTCGAAGTACGGCAGCGCCTGCGTGTACGTCTTGTACTCGATGAGCTTCTCGGTGCCGCGGTGTAACAGGCCGATGTGTGGGTCAGCCCGCAGCACCGTCTGGCGGCAGAGCCCAGCGGCGATTGTCACGGGAGTGACACGGAGCGGTGAGGCGTGGTGCGGCGGGTGTGCCGGAGCGCCATCAGGTCATGAACGTGCCGGGGCGCCATCAGGTCACGAACGTGCCAGGACGCTATCAGGTCATGAATGTGCCGGAGCGACAACAGGTCAAAAATGTGCCGGAGCGCCATCAGGTCACGAACGTGCCGGGGCGCCATCAAGTCGCGAACGTGCTGGGGCGCCATCAGGTCACAAACGTGCCGGGGCGCCATCAGGGCACGAAAGTGCCAGGGCGCCGACAGGTCACGAAAGTGCAAGGGCGCCGAGACAGGTCACGAATGTGCTGGAGCGCCAACAGGTCACGAATCACCGTCTCGGCGCATTCGTTACCTTACCTGACACAGGGCGCTGAAGTCAACACGACAACAGCGCAGCCCGGCTACCAGTCCCGGTCCCGCTATGGCGGGGCTGCGGCGCGGGAAGGGGGGGGGGCGAGACTAACCTCTCCCTCGAGCTGCAGCACCAGCCGCAGCACACCGTGCGCCGCCGGGTGCTGCGGGCCGAAGTTCAGCTGCATCATGTGGATCTTTTTGACCTGCGGCTCCACGTGCTGGTTGAAGTCGGGCCGCTTCCAGACGACGTCGTCGTCGCCCGTGGTGATGACCGTCTTCTCGAACGGCTGCATGAACTTGGCGTCCGGGTACCAGCGTTTGGCGCCGCGGGCCGGGCTGCCGCCAGGTGGGAGGCGGGGTACACGTCACAGGGTCGCCGGCAGGGACATGACGAGCAGACGTGGATGGCTCGTGTCAGCCGGGGGTGCTTACACAAACAGTGGAAAAAGTTGGTCACTGATGCGAGCATGCGAGGAGTTCCGCACACTATCTGTTCTGTTCTGATCTGTTCAGGACGCAGGTCATAAGTGGCAACTTTTCTTTGTGCACATTAACGTATCAAGACAAATCAACCGTGGCTCCAAATTGCCTACGACATTTGGTGGAATAGGTTTAAAAGCTTCGTCGGCACAAAGAGTTGGTGTGGCCTGGGCTCCGCCGGTTTTTCGAACCCATGTTTCCAACAAAACCACAGATTCGTTTCAAACCTGCCAACAGCTGGCTGACAACTTCAGCCTCCTAGCATGCCAGGCCAATGCCCTGTGATTTCGTGCTCAAAGCTATGCATGGCGGAAATGTCAACAACTGTCCTTCCCCGACGCCTCTTCAACTCTGAGTGAGATAGCTCTTCTTGTCCGGCCGTTTGTAAGGTATGGAATGGGATAACACCATAAACGTCATCAATGCTTGGGAACTTTGCTTAAGGACTGATCTGATCACATCCCTATAGTTTTGTTAGACCAGGTCACAACCCCATGACATCACATGCCACCAATAGCAGAGTTGGGTCAATGTTGGTCAGCATCACATAAGGTCAAACTGAAGTCAGGGCAACCCACAAAACTCTCCAAAGCACTGTTCATAGGCCTGAATTCATCTATATAGTATAGCTTACCTGGCCATAACAGCAGATGACTTAACATTCAGCAGAGCCCTGGAGAGGTTCAAGGGACTAGCCGCAATCAGCTTGGCCATATTGCCCGCCATGGCTCCGGTGGAGAAGGTAGTGCAACAACACCCTACCCTGAAATGAAAACCCAGTGCATTGTTAATGCTCTTAAGGAAATCAAAAATATCATCTGCAGTGTACCACAGCAATAAATCACCACACACATCACAACAGATATGCATTTTGTGAGGCACCCTGGTGATAAAGTGCTGAGCATGCTGATCTTGTGACAAAAGCAGTGGGTTCAATGTTTGATGCCCACTCACACAAAGTATCCCCTCCCTCCCCTGCCCCTCTCCCCACCCCACCCCACAGGCAAAGTAAGTGCCCTGTCACAGCCATTTACAGCTGCTGCATTTTCAACTGCCATTTGATGGTTCACTCTAGTAGATAAACATCCATAGCTATTTGGCTAGCAGGTGCATGTAAGCACATCTAACAGTCTGGAACCCTTCTGTGTTAAATTTGACACCCAATGCAGTAATTAACAACAGATTGATCTGAAATTATCAATGTATGTTGTGTCACAGAGCAGGTTAATTTCAGGTGGGCCCAGATAAAAATTTACTCCTATTTGGCTAGCAAATTGGTGCAAGCATGTCTAATAGTTCAGAATCCTCACATGTCAAAGCCAGCATTCACACAATAGGAAATAAGAGGTTGGCCTAATATAATCATTGTTATTAATACAGCAGTGTGTTTAACTCTGTTGGATGCTACCACTTCCATTTTCCTCCTTTGGAAGTGTCTTGAAGGTGTTCATCTTCTTTGTTTGTGTTTGACTAACTTTGTGAAAGGAAATGGGCAGTTTTGTGTGGCTATGAAGTCAGATCTCTCCCCACATCCCTACAAGACAAAAAGTTCTTCCCAGCCACAGCAGAATTTCATGATATGACAAAAGCTTGCTCATGCGGTTAGTGTTTCACCGCCATCAAATACAGTGGAAGGCAGTGAAATGAAATTGTGTGAAATAAAGTGAAGTGAAGTGATGCGAAGCCAAATGAGAGTGAAACGAAGTAAAGTACAGTGAAGAAAGATGAAGGAAACATACTTCCCCTCACCATTGACATGGCATTCCCACCAAACAGCTGAGACCCTCCCTCCCCCCCCCCCCCCCTGTTATCCTTTTGCTTACTTCATCCGCCCAGGCTTACTGCTATTATAAAAATTGCCGCACACTTAACATGATCTTCCTTTTCAATACTTCCCATTGAATTGTAATCACCTGACAGAAAAGCTAAGTAGTGGCATCAGACTCACGGCACTTTGGTAACTCTGCATGCCACATTGGAAAATTTGTACTTTGCTATCATGAACTTGTTTGAAATTTCCATGAATATCTCTGAAACATTTCCATTGTAATTTTCCTTTTGTTTAAGTGACACACATTTGACATTTGGTCATAGAAAATGCCAGATGGCAAATGCACACTTCTTGACATCATGTGTTAAAAAAGACATCAAACTAGCCTAGCTCACATTCCACATACTGGGCACAGCTCTTAATATTTGGAGCATGCTGATGGAATTACTATGCTTCATAGCATTGTGACCAACATCATTTGAAGATAAATGCCCCCCCCCCCCCCCCCCCACCTTCATGAAATGCCTGTGTTTTCTATTCCCAGCACCTTTTTGGCAGGTTGTCTTTAAAAATGACATATCAGACCAAGGTAAAAGTATGGTGCCTAGCTGAAATTAACAAATAAGGCACTTGGGAGTTGGTCACCATAGAATGATCACCTTAGTTTGTCATCATTTGTATTGTGAAAGACACTTCAAAAACAGAAAGGTGGCATCCACAACAAGTTGCACCACCAAAACAGGACACATTTAAAAACCAGGTACTTTAGTTGGTAAATGTTCCTTATCCATGACAAAATTGAGAGCATGTGCATATAATAGCTTTCTTTATTCACCAGTGCATTCTATTGTCATATTATGTTAAAAATCTCTAAGCATTTGTTCATCAATAGCTATGTTCATCAACAGCTATGTTCATCAATACCTGAATTTGTACCAATGAATTTACAAACATTAAAGCTGAATGTTTAGCACATCTTAGACTCTCTCATCTTTTCACATGCCACACCCACTCAATTTCATATGTAAATTGTGTTATGGTTCACATACTTAATACATACAACATAGAACATAAAAGCTGAATGTTTAGCATGTCTTAAGCTCTCTTGTCTTTCCACACACCACACACACTAAATCTCATGTTAATTGTTATTTTTTATGTAATTTAACATCAATATTATATTTTTATCTAGCTTTTACAAAAAAGCAGAGTGCAGTGCTAAAACTCAACTTAAGAAGTGGTCCACATTTGCATTGAGTTTTGATCTGATGTAGTGTGTTAAAGGTCATTTGCTGCAGTCCACAGCCCTGTCTTTCTTAAGATCTTAACCCCTCCAGATTATTAGCTGCACATCCATGAATGTGTGCACTCCATTTCCAGGGACTATTTCAAGGCCACCCAGGCATCAATGACACCATAACATCATTCAAATCCTGTCATTCTATTAGTCATGCAGCAATCCAGGCTAATAAAAAATACAATTACCGACTTGTTTATATCTGATATTGCTGAGCATGATTTTCCAGATAACAGTTGTCAATTGGCTCTGCATCATTGTTGTCCAAGGAATGATATAATCTTTTTTGTTGTTGTTGATTTGTGTTTTCAGGCGAGCCGACTGCAGTGGTCATTTGGTGCCCAGGTATGATATAATCAAACAATGAAATTGTTAAGCACTTTTACTACACAGAGAAAATGTGTTGTGTAAAACAGTCTCTTGCACTTCTAAGTATACAAGCTATAAGTGAGCTTTTATCATATCTGAAGTGTGCTTCACCATCTAAAAATGTAGAACATTCCCTTGAACTAAAGGTATTTTGCTGATGACTCAAAATGAAGATAGTAAAAGAGAATGTAATGAAAGGTAAGCTAATAAAGGTTAATTAAGATGTAGGTAACCATTTTTTCCATGTAAACTCAAGCACTCAAATATTTCTTATATTCTTAATGAGATATTACATTAACATAAGCATGTGCTTTGTTTGGCTTAATTGATCAAATGTTGTATGTATAAGATTGTGTAAGGCTTGTTCACTTGTGGAATATACAAAGTAGCTGTCCAGGGATTCATTCTGAAGCACAAACACCCATGAGGACTTTAAAAAATGTAATGGGTTGAATGTAAACACCTGGCTAGGCTGAGAAAAAATCATGGTCAGCTTACAAAACTTCAACACCCTGACCCACCAATTGATCAAATTTGAATACATATGTGAGCAACCAGCAGCACCCTTGAGCCTTGACAACAGTCAGCAGTTAACAATTGTTATGTAATGCTGCACATCTATGCACAGCTTTAAAATAAGCTCACTTATTGCTGTTGGTATACCTTAAAATGAAAGAAACTGCTTAAGACAACACATTTTCTCTGTGCAGTAAATGGGTAACTCTACCTAGACGCGTAGCTCAACACACCGTGTGAAACTTGTTATCAATGTGAAACCTACCAGCTGACATCCCCATCAACAATTTGAAAATACGAATGTTTATCATGTTTTATTTCACCTTTACGGGATAATGTTGATTGCGGTTCAATGAAATAGCAATGCTACACTACCCACCTAAATAAGCAGCCGCCGCACCGAATAAGATCAACCCAGCCTACCACTGAGACCTGCGGTCGCTCTTGCTGAAAGTATTTGTGGCACAATGAGTACGCATATGTGACAAAATGCTGGCAGCACACAACAGCTAAATTTATTTTACCTTGTAGTAGGCCTTTCGTCTTTACTTTGGTCGCTCTAGGCTTTGAAGTATCATATAATCGCTGGATGAAAATTGCTATATAGCAGTTAATTATACTCAAAAACAACATACACAGGTGTAACTGTGGATCAATGCTGCTTTTAAGATGTGAAAACGAGACATACCATGTTTATGCTGAAGCGCGCTATAAACTATGAACGCGGATAAGATCAACGATTTTGAAGATTAAAGGTATCCATGCGAGTGAGGTCTCCAAGGCTGCAAACTGGCTCGTGGCGATGCGTTTCACATCACCTCAAAATATTTATTTTTCAATATTTATTTGGATATGAAAGATAAAGGCATAGCAATACCTCCCAGCTGATTGGCTGAATCTTACGTCATCGAAGGGAGCGCCTGCGCCAAACTGTCAAAGCTAGGGGACCTGTTTGTGACCGATGGTATGAGTAGTTACTGAATCCAGCGAATTTTGGGTAAATATTGCTGGTTTTTACTACATGTTCAAGTTCGTCAGTCGTGGTACGAATCCAAAAAGCTATTCTTGATTGGTAACTTGAAGTTCATTCTCGACAAAAAATGGCGCATCTTATCCTCGTAACTTGTTTACATTTTGGAGCACGCTGCCCACTTTTCTCAGCAGCAGAGTAGCGCGTGTGTTAGTTGAGGGCTGCGTCTGGGTGAGAATTTCCGTGCTGAATGGGCTGCATATATGTGTCCTTGTGGTTGTATGTTCCTCTCGAAAATGGCCTTACCTGAAACTATGATGCACGTAAGAGGAAATATGGTGTCAAATTTCTTGAGCCGGAAATGGAACATAATCTTCATCGGGATAAAGATTTCTAGCGTCATTACATTGAAGGGACAGACAAGATTGCCCCTGATGTTATCAATATTTATTGATTAAATGCCCATGCCTCATATTTGATATTTCTATTCACATTTCAATCTGTGGTGATCACTAAGTTTAGCTTATATTCAGGTTTACAGTCTCTAGTTTATTTATTTATGGGGAATACACATTGAGATGCCCTTGGAATCACTGTGTATGAAATGGCGAAGCAATCTTTGTGTATGCATCTTGAGGTGCATGAGCACATGCATTAAGCCTATTTAAACCATGGCTTTGCACCTTAGTTACAGCTTTTATAATTGTTGAAATGGTGGTATTGCAATTTATTATGGTATGTGGGCCAATGTAGTGTCTTCATCTTGTGTTTTCCACATAAATTACTTTAAATTTTATTGTGAAGGTGGTTCCCAAGCATAGTGTGATGTACTCAGTGCTTCTTATTTGGTAGGGTAGCATCAGAAAGATGGTTTTGTAACACTGGTAATTGTATTGAAATTGTGGCAAGGAATGTGACTATACTATACAGGATAATATATGATATTTATGAGCAGTTAATAAAACTTGGTTTCTTTCCAAAAGCAGGGAATATGCTTCAAATCAGGACTAGGATGAGAATGAAATTGTGCATGTCATTTTAGTTAGTGGTAGGGTTTGCATAACAGTATCATTCAAAAGCATGTTCTTTGGTGAGTAGTATAGTAGGCACAGCAGCAGCCTTGTGCTGTTACTAAGATTAGAAACATTTTTTTCCACATTAAATGATAGTTGTGTGGAACCTGTACTTTATTTTCTTCATTTTATGGGCCCTGATGCCATGGTCAAACATGGCACCAGACTTGTAAGTACGAGCATAATAGCTTTTGGATTTTAGAGCCCCATATCCTCACCAAGCACCATGTTAAAAATAAAACTTTTCAGTCATTATAACATGACACATGAATATCTCATGCAGCAGAAAGGCAATATTGGTTGTGAGTAGTTAGTGGGTTTTAAGGGTGCATCAAGTGTAGTGTTCATTTGTGCCACTTATGGCTTAAGTTGATGCATATCTAGATGAATGAACAATGAGCAATGAGGTAGTCAGTGGGTTTTAAGGGTGCATCAAGTGTAGTGTTCATTTTTGCCACATATGGCTCAAGTTGATGCATATCTAGATAAATCAACAATGAGCATTTGTACCAGCCCAAATAACAAATAACTTAACATTGATTTATACTGTCAAGTTAAGCTGACAAGACATGTTTGGGCTGTTCCATCTCATTCCATGTTATGATTTAAGCCATGCAGGTTTCAGTTAAAAGCATTGATAACTGAACTGTGGTCTGGTATATTGTCTGCTCATCCTGCATAGCTACCTTTGGTGGTGTTATGTCAAAAGCAGAATAAAATTTGACAAACTAGTTTTTAATGAATTCATATCTAGCTGAGAAGTTGTTTCCAGTTTCCCTTTACATCCAGAATCACTCAAGCTCACTCCAAGTATGAACAGATCCAGAAGTCAAAGATGTAACAACTTCAATGTTGATTGATTTTCCATGGGCAATTTTAAACATTTTTATGACATTCTCATGCATTCCATACAAGATGTGGGTCACAGGATCATTCAACATTTAGCCTATATAGAAATATTTAGTTATCATTTGCAGCCAGGAATCTTGTCAGACCCAGAATGGCATATCAAGGATTTTAGGGCATCTGTAAACAATACACAAATATTTCTACCAAATGGAGAAAACAGGGCTGTATATTTGTTGTTTATTGATGTTTCAGGATATGAAATGGGCCATTGATGAGTTTTCAAGTGCTTACTGTGGCCTTACTGTTTGATCAATCTACCACATGTTTGTCAATTAATATTTGATGCAGTCATGCATCAGGTTTAAATAGAAATATGTTTGCATGGTTCAAATATATTCAAACGCATTGCAATCCAGGGCTCAATCAAAGCTATGGTAAACCAGGTGCTGTGGACTGCTCAGAGACTGTGTTTGCATCTGTCACATGTCATGTCACATTCAGATGCAGATGTTATTTGATTGAGCTGTCAAACATACAGTGGAATGCAGCACACATTCTTTATCATGTTCTGTAAAAATTAAGCCATGATTTTTTATCATGATTGGTGACAAGAAAGACCAAGTGAATAGATCCAGTTGTGGGCCTCATCCCATGCCAAGTTACATAAAATCATCTGAAGTCAATTAGGGTCACCCTTTCCAAAAGTCAAGGATCCATGAATTTCAACTCTATGAATTAATCAAAGAAATGTTTTTTGTGTTTTGGGCACAATATTGAAAATATTGCAAAAAATTGATGAACAGAAGCTGCCACATGCACTGAATGATGTGAATTATGGTTGAGGTTTCAAAAGCATAAATTACATGTCACTTTGCCACCCATTATCTGTGGATGGCTGTGAGTCATTAGTGAGTCATTGCTCATGGGTTATGGTTAGTGTTGTAGTATTTCCATTCAGGCATTTACATTGATTGTCATCACATGCTTGTGCTCCTGGCATTGATGCACTGATGGCTGGGAGTTTGACACAAATTTGTGGTGATGATTGTCTGGTCTGCAGAATCATACTGTTTAATTCATAGGGTTGTCAGCACAACTGACCAAGCCATAACCTGTGTTTGTGCTGATTGGCGTATGGTTGCTTTTGGTAACCTGGTACATTGTGTGCAGGTACAATGGACCCCCCTTCCCCCCCCCCCAAGCCTTCAAGCCTTGGTGATGGAGTCCTGTGGATTGTTTTTGGTCATCATCCATATGGTAAATGTTAAGTTCACTGAAAGTTGGTGGGTTTATCCCTATGGTCCTCTAATTCCTGCACCCCTGTTCATATGCTCACCATGACAGAGACAGGAACACAAAATCACTATTTGAAATAAGGAAAATCTCATCATCAAGAATGTCATATTTCATGATGTTTCATGCTCACAAGATGTGTAGAAATGCTCAAAGTTCAGCCTCTGTAGCAAGCAGCATCATGCATCTTGTGTTTCCAAAGTTAGTCCCAGTTGTGGTAAGACATACTGGGAGCTATGAAGCTCCATCCAGCGAACTTCAACGTACCTGGCTGGCTGGTTGAGTGTGGCACCCTCAGGTGGGGATAAGTTTGAATTCCTGAGACCTCAAACACTAAGTGAGCTATGGATGTCAAATTTACATGACAGGGTAGGCTTGCATTTGAGCTAATTTGTTTCAAATTTCCATATCCCTAGGTCATCATCTTGCGTTTTATGAGGTCAAACAATGCCAAACTCATTGTTGGGCTGCTAAAGTGCCCTCATACCCCCTCATTGAACATCCTGTAACCTGATCTTTCTAAGCAAAAGTCACTGGTGGTCATTGGTGGTGGTGGTGGTCATTTTAGGTTAGTGATGTTATTTGGCCCTCTGGAGATTGAGTTTGTCAAGAACCTTTGTTGATGTCTTGCTATCTTAATTAAAATTCAAGCCAAGGAATACACATGCTGCTATGCTCCTAAAAGCAGAAGGCTCATCAGGGTCATTTTAGGTCAGTGACTTCTTGCCTTCATGAAGCCAAAATGTGTAGATGGTTAGATAAGATAGGATGTGTTCTGCAGCAAATACATTTTGCTCTCTGTGTGACCTCCAACTCTGATGCAAGGTTGATGGAACTAGTTGTCCACATATACTTAATATTCTTATTGTCCTAAAAACCATGTCAAGGGCACGTCCCAAAGAGAAGCATGTGCGTTGATGTGGAGACGTGTACTCGTCGAACACTTCGTTGTCGCATCAGACATCATATTTTTATGTGACACGAGCCACCGCCTCGCCACACTTCACCTCAAAAATGCGGAGAACTCGAGACCTTCTATGGATAAGCCGCTGTAAGGCTTCCTAAAACAAGGAACAACTTCTTTAAGCATTCTTCCCAAAGCACTCCTGCGTGTGGCTTTGAGCCGCCGTGACCCCGTTAACTCAGAATTAGTGGCATTGAGCCTCCATCCATGCACTCTAGCCAATGGGGAATTCATGCTTGGGAATGACTGATCGTGGATTCTCGGCGATGGATCTGTATCAACTCCATCGGACTTTATGTCCCAATTACCTCAGGGCATGTCAGTGTACCACCCTGATTGCGAGACATACTTTGTGCAACAGGAACAGCACGTGGCTTCTTAAGTTCAAACAGTCTCTGCTTGTGCACAAAGCATATTTTCCAACACTGCATACTCACAGATTGGCTGTTGTTTGTTGCTTGACTGTTCCATGCTACCGCGACATGAACTTGTCCGTATTATGCTGTGATAAGCTTTGTGCCCATGCATTTATACTGCATACTTTGCCGGACTATGTGTTTATTTTGATGCATTTCGTAACATCTGCGTCAACCGCCGCGCGTCTGGGAAACCAGAGATACGGGATTCGATTCCCTGCGGTGCCCGCCCTCCCTGCCAGGGTGAGAGGCAGGCGACGCCATATAGCCTCAGCATCTGGGTGCGTCGTAAAGCCCCAATCACAACAACAATGATGCATTCCATGTTGTACTACCATATTGTAACATCGCATTTTCTGGGATTTCCATTAGGCATCTATGATAAGAGCATCATCGCCTGGTTTTTAGAAGCTCATCGTTGCCGATAGGTTGTCTTAACAACTTAACAACAACCGCACTTAACAACAAAACCTCGATTTCATAATAGCAAAAAACTGTCAAATTATCTTCAGGGAGTAGCCTGACATTGACATGTGTTGTAAGGCAACCTTTTGACGCCAACTAGAGCACTTTAAACAGGGCGAGTTACAGAACAGAACAGAACAGAACAGAACGAGTTACAGTGCAGCACAACAAGTATTGGGCGGTTTTATGTGCATCAGCTGTCAGCTTATAGAAGCCGCAGCACGCCGGCCGTCACAGCGGCGCTCGCGGCACGGCGCGGGTGGCTGAAAACAGCGCACTGCTGCGAGTGTGGCCGTCTCATAAGCGACGGCCGCGCCTTGGATCGGCCTTGGGTCGGTAGGGTACCGATCTCCAGCCCGTGATCAATAGGGCGGCTGTTAGCGTCCAGTCCGGTGCCGGGTGGCGGGAGCTGACCGCGAACCGCCTGCCGCGCCGTGCCGCGCCGACCCGCGCCGCCCCGGCGCGCCGCTCCGCCCCGCGCACCTGTTTGTGCGGATCGGGTCGGAAGACGGGCTGTCGGCCTACCGCCGGACGGTGGAGTGCGCGCTGCGGAGAGCGGACTGATCAGAACTGGGAAGTGTCGATATGGATTTCTTCAGTTGTATTTTTCCTCGCAGTGTGGGCGGGTAATACGCTTCGGAAGCCTGCATCATGCCATTGATTAGATTAACGGAGATGGGAGCGGACGAACTTCTTTTGCTGCTGGCTTTGTTAATGGTTGCCGGAACAGATCCGCGTATACGGGTTGTGGCGTTCTGTAGCTGGCGTGTAGCTGAGTGAGTAGTCTTTACTCTCCGCGATACGCCAATGGGCTGGAAGTGTTACCTGAATCGGTGGCAGGTCGTTTGACAGTGGCGCCGTCTTCCACGCAGGGTGTCAGCTGTTGAGGCGGTGCCGTGCGCCGTGCTTTCTCTGCACCGGACGGTACTTGCCGTTCGCCTGCTGGCGTAGGCCTGAGCAGCCGCCGCCGCGCTATCCCTGCACCGGACGGTACCTGCCGGTCATCTGCCGCCGTGGGCCTGAGCAGCCGTCGCGCCGCGCCGCCGGCCTCGTCATGGGCACCTTCCTGGACAAGCCCAAGACGGACAAGCACACGGAGTCGGGTGCTGGCAACGGACTGCGCTTCGCACTGGCCTCTGAGCAGGGATGGCGCACCGAGATGGAGGACGCGCACAGCGCCGTGACGGGCGTCAGCGAGCAGCTGCCCGAGTGGTCGTTCTTCGCTGTGTTTGACGGCCACGCCGGCTCCAAAGTGTCGGCGTTCTGTGCTGAGACAATGCTCGCGCACATCCTGCAGAGCGAGGAGCTGCAGCCGGAGCGGCTGCGCCGGCTGGCGGCCGACGAGCCGGCGCTGGCCGACAGCGTGCGCGCCGGCCTCGTGTCCGGCTTCCTGCGGCTCGATGACGACATGCGCGGCGAGCTCGACGTCGAGACGGACAAGTCGGGCTCGACGGCCGTCTGCGCGCTGGTCTCGCCCACGCACGTGTTCGTCGCCAACTGCGGCGACTCGCGTGCGCTCATGTGCCGCCGCGGCCAGATCGCGTTCAGCACCACCGACCACAAGCCGATGAACCCGGCCGAGCGAGAGCGGATCGAACGCGCTGGCGGCAACGTCATGATCCAGCGCGTCAACGGCTCGCTGGCCGTCTCGCGCGCGCTCGGCGACTACGACTACAAGAACGTGCACGGCAAGGGACAGTGTGAGCAGCTGGTGTCGCCCGAGCCAGAGGTGTACGTCGAGAAGCGGCAGCCCGACGACGAGTTCCTCGTGCTGGCTTGCGACGGCGTCTGGGACGTGTTCGATAACGCAGACTTGTGCCACTTCGTGCGCTCGCGGTTAAGGGTGACGGACAAGCTGGACGACGTGGCCAACCAGGTGCTCGACACGTGTTTCTACAAGGTGAGAGGGTCGCGAAGTGGATGGCTCGAAGCACGGACGTCGGGCGTGGATCGTGCAGGTGTAACGGGCGTGCACTGAACAGCAGCGGGACTCGGGGCCCCTGCTGGTTCAATGATTGGGTTCTGTGCAGTTTTCCGCGGAATATGCCGCCTATGCTGTTGTCCGTGCATCCCTCGGTGCCAGCGCGGGAAGCCGCACTTGCCCGTCATGCTGTCAGCAGTCAGGTTTTCATGTTTTGGAGGTCTGCACACAGTGATTGCGGTTCCGTTTCCGATCATAACTTGAGTGACATGCTGGCTTGTGGGTTTTCTCCGTGCTGCGCAAGCCGCTTACGCTGTCGCCGTCGCCCACAGGGCAGCAAGGACAACATGAGTACGGTGTTGATCGCGTTCCCGGGCGCGCCCAAAGTGGACCCGGCGGCCGCCGCCCGAGAGGAGGCCATGAAAAACAACCTGGCCAGGGCCATCGAAGGTAACCAGAGATCAGCGACAGACTGGATCTGTGACGGCAGACACGCTGACCAGTCCCTCCCACGTCATCGCGCAGCAAAGAAGGCATACCGTGCCGTGACCTTCACAATCACTGTCGATAACGTTACGAGTTTATCAGTGTTTGGTGAAATTTCGGTATCTGCTCGTCGTATCAACACAGGTAGCGCGTCCAAGTTATCAGTTATCACGCATTCAGGTCGTGCACATCCGGCCTCGAGCCCGTTGCCCCGGTGCGGCCTCTGGCTGATGGGAATCGGTCGTCCGTGGACTGGCGAGACACAGACCGGCGGGGTGGGACGAACGCCTGCCGGGGCTAGCGCATGGAGTAGTGCAGTGACTGATTCGCCAGGCTAGTGAGGGCGGCTTCCACGGCTCCGCTCATGTCGGCCAGAGTGAGGTCACGTCACGGGCAGGCATACAGCGGCATTCTTGAAGCAGAGAGTCTCCGCACCTCGCTTGATCACAACCCCGGACTCTTATTTGACCGTACTGGGTGACTGACAATGTGTTTATGTGTCTTGCCGGCGTTTCTCTTCGGCTTAGGGGTAAGGCTACTGATGTCTTTCAGCCTGGCGGTTTAGTTTTGGTTGTACCGTCTTTATTTTGCAGGCACGTAGCGTTTTACACACTTGGGCATGGCCGTAGGAACGACCGATGTGATCAGAATCTGCTCTCCTCGCTCTCGTCTGTGAAAGCTCACCCCCCGTCCTGCTTTAGGTATATCACGGATTACAATGAGCCGTATATGTAAGGTTGTATCTGAACCTATGGAATGGATGGATTTATGAGACCGGGCTCACACTTATCAGTGTCTGTTGCGTGGGCGCTTACCCCTACCATCCGATAGTGCGATTCTGGGTCAATGGCCAGAGGGTGGTGGCAAAAGTTTAACGCATCGCAATGCTCGGTACGGTCCGTCCTTTCCTCTGACGTCACCTGACCTTAAGCGCGACCATTGCCACCGGCCGCAGGCCATATAGACATACATATGTGTGTATGTATGTATACATATATATATATATATATATATATATATATATATATATATATATATATATATATATTATATACCTTTGTGTATATATATGCATATCTTGCATATATAAATGAAATTTCGGTGTCTGCTCGTCGTAGCAACAGATTGCGTGTGTATGATATTTCTCTCTCTCTCTCTCTCTCTCTCTCTCTACCATCTCTCTTCTTCTCTCTCCTCCTCTCTCTCCCTCTCTCTCCCTCTCTCTCTCTCTCTCTCTCTCTCTCTCATCTCTC